CAGGCCCTTCCAGCCCAGGATCAGGCTGGAGAGCCTCAGGGTGCCTCTGATTCTTCTCCTTGGGCGGCTGCTGAAGCCACCAACTACGAAGTCCTGAACAACACCGAGTCGCGTCTTTTTGATGGAAGCGCTGCTATCTACGAGTTCAAAGAGGAATATGGCGATGTTGGTCCCAAGTTTGAAGAGCTCGAGGTAGAGCTCTTTGGACGGCCAGATGAGCGATCTGGAACAGGTTTGGACTTTGCCAAGTACGTGACACTTACTCCTGTATGTTTTTAAGAACCTCACTGACCAATGTTAAGTATTGCCGAGATTGAAGTCCAGCAAGAGGGTCCTGTGAAAATCGACGCCATTGGATCTTTCAAGACTGCTGGGCTTCATCCAGTAATGCTTGAGAATGTTGAGCTGGCTGGATACGAGTATCCTACACCGATCCAGAAGTACACCATCCCTTCGATTCTTCAGGGCTACGATGTGATCGGTATTGCACAGACAGGTAAGAACTTTTGATGTATCTCATTCAAAAAGTAACAGGTCAACTGACCTTAGTAATGTAGGCTCCGGAAAAACTGCCGCTTACTTGATTCCTATCTTGAGCAAACTGATGGGCAAAGCCAAGAAGTTGGCGGCTTATCGCCCCAACCCTGCCACTTTTGAGTATGGTCGTGATGAAGTCAAGGCTGAGCCTCTTGTTCTTGTTGTCGTTCCTACAAGAGAGCTTGCAGTCCAGATTTTCAACGAAGCTCGCAAGTTTGCCTATCGCACCATGCTGCGACCCTGTGTCGTTTACGGAGGTCTCCCAATCCGCGAACAAATCAACTTGCTTAGCAAGGGATGTGATATCCTCATTGGAACTCCGGGACGCCTCATTGACTTCATTCATCGTCCTGAGAAGCTCACCCTCCGTCGCCTCAAGTACATCGTCATCGATGAAGCCGACGAAATGCTTGACGATGATTGGAAGCAAGAGCTTGAGCAGATTCTGAATGGAGGCGGTAAGTCTTCTTCTATTTGATCATAAGATTTGTGCTTTCTCTAACTCGTCGTGTAATAGAACAGGATTTGGGCAACATCAAATTCGGTTTGTTCTCAGCGACATTCCCCAAGGCAGCTCGAGACCTTGCCAAGGACCATCTCGCCGCTTCCCACGTTCGCTTTCGCGTAGGTCGAGCTGGAAGCACGACTCAAAACATCAAACAGCGAATCATTCAAATCGATCGCTCGGAGAAGCGTGATGTTCTCATTAGCTTGCTCCATGATCTCCCGGGTGTCCGCACCATCATCTTCGTCAACAGCCGACTTGAAGCTGATAGTCTCGATGACTTCTTGTTCAACAGCAAGCTTCCTGTTACTTCGATTCACGGAGAGCGCACCCAGGTTGAGAGAGAGTATGCCATGCGAGCATTCCGTTCTGGAAATGCTCCAATCTTGGTTGCCACCGGAGTATCTGCCCGAGGAATTGATGTCCGTAACGTGATGCATGTCATCAACTTCAACCTTCCATCCATCGAACATGGTGGGATCGAAGAGTATACTCATCGCATTGGTAAGACATTAGTCAAAGCTTCATTGCTATGTTAACTAACAATCTTCTAGGTCGGACTGGCCGTATTGGTCACCGTGGACTGGCCACCTCATTCTACACCGAGCACGACGAACCCCTTGCCAGCGTTCTTACTCGCACACTTCTGGAGACCGAGCAAGAAATCCCGGAATTCCTCCAGCAGTATGTCCCCGACGGCTATGCTCAAGGCCAGGGGAACCTCAAGTTTGAAACCGAATCTGATTTTGACCCCAATGACCTTGGCGCCAATGAACTTGGCGGTGGCGGCGATTTTGGTGGCGGTGGCTGGGGAGGAGATGCCAATGCCGATGCCAATGTTGGCGCTGATGCCTTTGGAGCAACTGAGCCTTCCGGAGATGGCGCCGCCTGGGGTGCGGAGGCTGCAGCTCCAACTGCTCCCGCAGCTCCAACTGGGGACGGCGGTGATGCTTGGGGAGCCAACCCATCACCTTCTGGCCATCGAGGTCAGAACGCCGACCCCCCAACTGACAATGCCGGTTGGGGAACAACTGCCGGCGCCGACGCCAACGCCAACACCGGGGGAGGTGGATGGTAAATCAGAACGTATCAGCAGTGGCCAATGCCTGACAAGGTCGAAGGATTGTTGAGTTAGTGAAACCAGAGATGATGAAAGCTTGACAAGAAATGGTCAAAAGTAATGAGTGGCAGATATCGACCGATGCAAGGATAACGTTTGGTAAAATGACTGAAAATCGCAAAGACTGGAATATCAGTGAAAATGGACAATGGACACTGGACACTGGCCTAATTAGCTGACAATGAAAATCTCAATTCGAATCAGATCTTCCCATATCAGTGACTTGCCACTAGATTTCGTGTGAATAACCAACAACAGCTCTTACATCTCAGGGCCGGTCGCCCAGAACATCCAAATCTTGAACTGAAGGTGTGGTTGTGAGTGTCGCCAAAATCCATGATCAACGTAGTCTTGTCTCGAAAGAAAGGATTATATTGTGTAGCGGGAAAATCTCCATTTTGCACCATATATTAGACTTGGAGTAATTAATTTACAGGACACGCCCTCGTTTCTCATGCTACCCAGTTTCCTTCTCCTCCTCCTCACATGTTGCTAAGAATTTTCCCCAGCCCGGATGCCTTTCTCAGGAGACCTCCATATCCTAACTCGACCACGCCTTGTGTGAAGCGCCAGCTCTTATCCTGATTTGGAACGGGGTACTGAGCAGGAGGGGGGATCCCGGTGCGGATGCCCAGCCAGCCAAAGCGGTCTTCGCAAATGCTCTTCATGTTGCAGATGCCACGGAGGCCCTCCTCGCCGGCGAAGCGCCCATAGCCAGAGCCTGCCACTCCGCCGAAGGGGAGCTGGACAGCATAGTAGACAGCGAAGTCGTTGATGGCCACCATGCCGGCCTTCAAGCCGCGCACGATGGGCTGGAGGGAGCGGTCGCTCTCGGAACCGTGAACAGAAGCACCGAGACCAAAGTTGGGGGCGTTGGCAATGGAGAGGATATCTTCAGGCGAGGACGATTTGGCAGGGAGGACGGTGAGGACTGGGGCGAAGCACTCATGCTGAGCAATGGCCATGTCGGGGGTGACGTCGACAATGAGTGTAGGCTGGAAGTAGAATCCCTTAGGGTGATCAGGGTGGGAGTAGCGCTTTCCGCCAGCAAGGAGACGGGCACCCTTGGAGACGGCATCGGCGATGAGTTCCTCGAGGCGGGTAAACGAAGCATCAGAGATCATAGCGCCCATGTCGGCTTCGGGGCCGAGGCGGATAGCCTTGACACGAGGCTCGAGCTGCTTGATAAGGGTGTCGTAAACGGCAGGGGCGGCAATGACACGCTCAATCCCGATACAGTTCTGGCCGGCAGCTTGGAAGGTGCCCCTGAGTACGACCTCGACGATACGCTTGAGGTCTTTGCGTGCCGAGTCAAGGATGATGAAGGGGTCCTTGCCACCAAGCTCGGCGACGACGGGAGTCAGACTCTTGGCAGCGCTTGCGGCGACATGGTGAGCGACGGATTGGGAGCCAATGAAGGTGATGTGCTTGATATCTGGGTGAGATGTCAGGTGTCCAGCGACTTGAGGCCAGCACACGATGGTCTGGACAAGGGCAGGGTCTTGTCCATGGGCCACCAGAGCGCCCCGAGCAATGTTTGCAAAGAATTGACTTGACCAGGCCGTCTGTTCCGAGACCTTAACGATGATTCCGTTGCCCGCGAAGATGGAGCTGATGATGGGGCCGATGAGGTTGTGGAAAGGGTAGTTCCAGCTCACGAGGGCAGCTATGACTCCCATGGGCTCGTAGACGACCTTGTTGCGCTTGTAGGACATGAGGAAGTTGGTGGGACGGCGCGAGGGAGCAAGAGCCTTCTCGCCGTGCTTCAAGGTCCATTCGATCTTCTCGACGGTGACGAGGATCTCGCCCAGCTGGGCGTCGACCATTGTCTTCCCGCTATCCAGGCACGCGATTCGGCAGATTTCCTCTGCGTTGTCGAGGACATAGCGCTTCAGAGAGGACAGGATGGCCTTCCTCTGCTCAAACGTGGTCGTCTTAAACTTCTCCTGGGCGTTGCTGGCGGCGGCAATTGCTCGATCAATACCTTCGGTCGTGGAGGGGTTGATGAGGCCGAGGAAGCGGCCCGTGGCAGGCGAGAAGCATTGCACAGCGGAGCTACCTGGTAGCTTGATCTTGGGCTCGTCGACGATGGTTTCCTTCTCAGGCAATCGAGGCGGGGGAATCGTGTAAATAACAGTCGGTCTGGGCGTCGCTCTCGCGGCTTTGCGGGCAAGGCTGGCAATGGAGCCGAAGAGGACAATTGCGAGCAGGGCAACAATTACCTGCACGGGGATTCTATAGGAATGAAGAGAGACATTAGCGAAGGGCCGTGGTGGGCGATGTTGGGGTAAAAGTATGTGCGTATCATACGATTCCTTGTAGGGGCTTTCATTGATCTGGTCGGTCAGCCGCCGCCAGAGCTGCATCACAGCCGGCTCCGGACGCGCCATTATATGGTTAAATCGGCAGAAGAGGACGGTGTAGGCCTAATTGAGCAGCTTCGGTGCAGATTCCGAGGGAAGCGGGGGAGTGAAGGCCAGAACAGGATCAGGCACACGACCTCGTGCGTGCTGGTGGTTGAGGAAGCTCGGTGTAAGTGTGGGCAGGGCCAGAGTGTTATCTGATAAGATCCTTATGTCTGATAATTAGTGAGGTGGGGAGCCAATTTGCAGGTCCCCGCCTGCTGTCCATCCAGCTTTCGGGGGAGCTCGGGGCTGCAACACACCACTTCTAGCAGTCCGGATAGCCACCAGCCGGCACATCTTGTCCCTGCATTGATATCCTGTAAAGTAAACTATGGTTTGTTGATCGAGAGAAGGCCCAAGACCACATGACAAAGCACTATATGACAAAGAAAGAAGGAGATCACCGACTGATGCCAGATCCCCACTCTCTGCATCAGAAGAGCGTGTCGGTAGTGGCCTTGATTCCTAGAACGGCTCTAAAGAGCGAAGGTGCACAGAGAGCAGGTCCATCATATATGCCCACTGCGACGAGGCGCCCAACAAAAGTTGCTAGATTGGTTTGCTGGATCATGCTTAGCTGATAAAAGTCGCCAGTAAACTCGTTGACAAGACATGCCGAAAACAGTGGTAAATCGGGGAAGAAAGTTCGCCCATCAGAGAGGGTAACAATCTCTCCCTCCTTTCCCGTCTTGTCGCTCGACTCAAGAAGTGGCGGCTTATACTGCAAGGGCCCAGATGCTCTTGCAGCTAGGACACAGGATACGATTGACCGCTGCTGGTGGCTGGCAGTTGGTACATACATAGCTCCCTGGATGCATGCATACCACACTTCTCCAAGGTAGTGCTCAAGTCCGCTCAGAGTCATCCCGTCGGTTGTGTACCTACTGAGAAGATGCGCAATGAGATCCGATATAAGCAGGTCGATTTTGCTATCACCACCATCTTCATTAGCCCTCTGGGCTTCTGCAAGAATAAGTTCCTTTATTGTCTTAGAAACCACAACTTCGGCGGCCGAATCGGTCTTGGAGCTAGACATTGCAGTGGTCTTGAGAAGCGTTGGATAAAAGACAGAGAGAGGAATGGGGGATATGCTCGAGAGTGTGTATTAGATTTAGCGAGAGGCCAAGTGGATTGGAAGCCAACCGGTGTTATATATCGCATCATCTAGCTATTTTCGTGTGTAATCTGCCTAGGCAGGCGTTTATGCGAACTACTAACTGCATGACTTGAATGTGGCAGTACATGCATCTCTATTTAAAAATCACACAGGTAAAGCTATGGCCTAAATTCGCAGGAAACGCGGGTTGAGTAGTGTGGATTAAAATACCAAGATAACTTGTTGCTTTGACTTTGTCATATATTTCAAGGAGAAAGCTGAGGTATACCATTGGTATTCGTTCTATGTACAACTATATCCATGACCAAGCCTTTTCAAACGCCCCGCCGCTCCGAACGCCCTATTGTGTTGTGCAGAGGTATCTATCGGTTCCAGGGTCTTCAGCGAAGACAAACACTCCATCACTGCTACTTCAACGCAAGGCTCCTCAATACAATACAGGCAAAGACAAGACTCCAACAAGTTACCGACCAGAGTAACTTCTCTCCAGCCTCAACAAGACAAAAAGAACAACGCCCCCAATGTAGTTGTGGTACTCAAAAAAGAAAAAAGCATGCATAGTCGGAGGAGCAGAAATAATTCGGAGAGAAAGGATAACTAGAAACTTTGAAAAATATAAAACAAAACGAATAAGAATTGCAGGCAGCAAGATAGGAAATGAAGATAGAGATATCCTCATGCAGTATTAGGTTGGGACAGATCCCAAAAATCGACGTGGTTTTGAAGCCTAGGAACGCAACTGACGACTATGGATAAGCATCGAAGCCAGCCTCAAATTGCGTCAACTCCAATCAATGGTAACCTAGTACAGGAGGATTTTATTTGTGAGAGTCATGGGATCGTTCATGCAGATCGTCGATGCGTGATGCTTCACGCGATGATGCCAAGAAGTCGACATAGGGAAGATGCGTATATCTGTTGAGAATGGGTATAACGATTCAGGCTGAAACGAAAGAGGAGATGATGCTGACAAAGACTAATGATTAACTATTGGTTGGCGCTTTTCGACAATGATAATCCACGTAGCCTGGGTCCAAGCCGGCCGGTGTATGTCCTTGATGACTCAATACGCGACAGCCGAGCCGCCGAAGTAAAGTCGTCACTTGCTTCGAAACTGGGCCTGACACGCTCCATGGAAGCACGTATCCGATCATACGAGGGCCGTGCTCGATCCATAGATGGTCTGACTGTCATGGTCGCAGGTAGCACCTCCACCGAGTATCGGTTGACAGTATAGCCCGTCGAGTCGCTGCCGTTCTGGCTGTGCTGAGGGCCAGTCGCGCGAGTTGTCGTCGAGGGCGGGTAAATTGGGCGGCGATCTTCGTCGATACTTCCATATGCCTGGTGCTTCGGCGGTTTCGAGACCTTCGAAGATTCAGACCCGGATAGTTTGGTATCAGTTACTTCAGGATATGTCAAGTCTTTGGGTTTTTTCAAATGATCGAAAGCACCCATCCGATCTTGCTCTCGGATGATATCCACGTCCAATGGGAAAAAGAGTTTTTGGATGCTCTTGATGGCAAACCGGGGAAGAATGCACATAACTGGAACAAGACAAAAACTGGCCCAGAAAGTCGGCTGAGCATACACATGCTTAGCCACACCGTAGAACATAACAGCCGTGTCAAACGACGTGTACACCCCAGTCCAGAAGAAGATGAAAATGTCGCTGATGAAAATAACCAGCAGCATGATCCAGTCCCACTGATATGTGTTCATAAGAATATACAAGTTGATGGTGAGAACTGCTGGGTGGGCGATGTAGGCTCCGAAATGGAGTCGGTCTGATGCGTCCAAACCATCAGTAGTCACTGCGGTTGCCAGGCGGAACATAAGATATGGGACGAAGAAGCCAATGACAGACTGGTAGGTACCGTCGAGCATGTAAAACCTGCAGCATGTCAATACTTGAAATCTACGCAGAGGGTTATATCAATCTTAACATACCAAAACTTGGAGAGGGTCCACTCCAGACGCTCGATACCACGTCTGTACAGCTGAGGTACAGCCAATGACACCTTATCCGAAACATCTTGGTCGAAAACACCCAACAGACCGACGGGGACGGAGGTGAAGACAAGGTTGAAAAGGATAATGTAACTGTAGTCGAAAAGATTCGTCGAATCGAACTCGCAGTAGATCATATACCAGAATAGTACAAAGGACCAAACCATGTTCTTGTAGAAGAAATTGGCAGTACTCTCCGCCATTCGGCGATATGACCATCTACCGTGAACGAGCACCAGTCTCTGGAGGAAACGGAACTGACCAATAGCGTAATCGGAAGACATGGCAGCTTGACGACCTTCCAGACCAGCAATTCCCACACCAACGTCGGCTTCTTGAATCATGGCCACGTCGTTGGCTCCGTCTCCGATGGAGAGAGTCATAACATCCAGACCGTTCTTGACCATAGACACAACGGCCGCCTTTTGTGCGGGACTGACACGGCAGCAGAGAACAGACTTGCACTGCTTGCAAAGCAGCAGGAACTTCTGCTTGAGGTCCTCGTTCAGCACCCAACGGAGTGTGAATCCGTCGATAACAAGACCGTGTGTAGGCCCAGGAGGCTCATGGTTTTCTTTGGCGGCCGCCAACTCTGCATCATCACCTGTCATGTTGAACAATTGCAGCTTCTCTGTCAGAATCCTGTCTGCTTCTTGGACAAGGGCCTCTTCGTCGATAGAGCCATCTTCCTTCTCATCAAGTTTGATATGCAAAAGATCCATGCTGTTATTGAGAAGATTGCACGAGAAACCAATGTTGATAGCCGTCTCGACCTTATCACCAGTCAAAACCCAGAGCTTAATACCAGCGTCACCAAGCAGTTCAATCGTCTCGGGCACGGCGTCTTGCAAACGATCCTCGATGGCAGTGCCACCAATGAGATAAAGGTCCTGCTCGATTAGTTCTGCAACAGCCTCGAGCTTCTCTTCACGTTCTTCGAGCGCGGCGGCAGCGACATCATGTTGCTTCTTCCAGCTATAATACTGCTCCTCAGTCAACTCCTTTTGAGCAATGCAGAGCGTTCTGAGACCCTCCCTGGCAAACAATTCCAGATGGTCAGCTGTTTCCTTGCGCATGGTTTGCTGTTCGCCCTTCTTCAACCGGGAGTAGATGATGGAATCAGCACCCTTGCAGAAAAGAATGATTTTACCGTCGGGCATTCGAACGATCGAGCTCATTCGCTTCCGCGTTGAGTTGAACTCAATGGTGTTGAGGATCTGGTAATGACGATCCTCTCCAAGCACGTTCAGGTTGATACCGTCCGATGAATAGCTCAAAACTACAAACCCCATATCTCTGGCCGTGGAAACCAATGCTTCCTCATCCGGAGACTGGGCTTTGAAGATCATCTTAGGCGGGTCACTCAGGGTTCTTTCAGGAATGACAGTGTGGCAAAGAGCCAGGGCCAGCATGAAGTTCACATTTGACTGCTGCTGTTCATGACCAGATTCTCCATTTAGATCGGCAACGAAATCGGGGGCGATGAAATGCAAGTCGTCGTCGTGGAGATAGGGGTTGTCATTCATGTGTCGTAGCTTTGCGAGGGTTTCAACCCTGGCTTCGGCAATTTCTCCGCGAATCTTGGCTCCCTCGACCTCAACATCAATACCCTGTCGCTTCTGCATACCAGCCTGTGCTTCCGTATAAGCCTCGCCATATGGCTGGCCGTTGATAGTCGCCTTTTTGAACTCCATGACATTCTGAGTGAGAGTGCCGGTCTTATCTGAGAAAATGTACTCGATCTGACCCACATCATCAGAGATGTTCCACGATTTCGGAACGCAGGGCTGGTCAATTGGCTCGTAGTACATTTCAATGTCGTTGTAGATGAAAATGGCCTGTAGAGTTCTCACAACCTCCATGGTGATGTAAAGGGAAATCGGGACCAAGTTCTGGAACAGGATGACTGCAGCCCAGAAGTTGACGAAACCAGTCAGGGGGGGTGAGCCAGCCGGAGAGTCGTAATCGAAATAGTGCAATGAAGCATCTGTCTTGGCCCATGCAACGCCGTTAATGATAGCTGCGAGCAAACACATGACGAAGAGAATGACGAAATTGCAGATGACATGAAAGTTCAGCTCCCGCGCGATTCTGGCACGCTTGGTGGGTGTCACGCCCGCATTCATCATGATCTTGGTATCGTGACCAGTGAAAACCACGATTCCCAAAGCCCACTCGGTATTTCTGAGATTGCAGCCTCGCAACAGAAGATTGTCGATTGAGATGGGCTCAACCATCTCCTCGGGCTCGTCATCCAAGAACCCGGGAACTTCCTGGATCCACTTGGCAGCTCCGTTGTACTTGTACAGGTTGGGTTGAGGAGGCTCGCTCTCAATTGTAAACTCGGCTCTTTCGCAATCACGGGCGTGCTTCATAGACTTCCCGCAGCGAAGAGCTTGGCGAACCTTCAAGTTAGTTTCACCATCCAAGTTCTTCGTCTCGACATAGCAGGCACCATCCGGATCGGAGGTTGCGAGAATGATTATATCGGCAGGAAGCTCGTCATCATTGTAGATGCGAACAAAGTCGCCGACACTGAGGTTCTTCCAGGCATCCTTCTGAAATCGAGCACCGCTTACTGGTCGCTTAAAATTGATCACATCTCCTTTCATATCCCTCACAGCCTGTGCGCGCCTTGCCGCATCAGAAGTCGGCACCGCGAGTCGAGCGTGCTGAGTTGGGCCTGGAGATGGAACTGGCGTCATCTGGATGTCTTCAGCAGCAGAGATGAAGGATTCGCGATGTGAGAACGGTGTCGCGAGCGAGTCACGGACATTTCGCTTTGTGCGTGCTGTCTCGACGGACGGGCGTGGTTCCTCCAGATCAGCGCTCTTTTCTTCCTTGATCTTCTTCCTCTCCTCCCGGGCCTTCTTTGACCATAGGCTCTTGATCCCCCGCCAAAGAGTGGCGAA